AGAGGAGGATTAGGAGTCAGGAGGAGGAGGCGGAGAAGGAGGGAGGAGGAGGAGGAGGAGGAGAAGCAGGAGGAGGAGGAGGAGGAGGAGGAAGAGGAGGAGGAGGAGGAGGAGGAGGAGGAGGAGGATACTAATACCATTTTTTAGCAATAGCAAGAGGAGGAGGAGGAGCAAGGCTCCCAACTGAGAGCGGCAACGTAAGCATCTCTAGGCACGAGGACTTTGAACAGAGAGCGGTGACGCAACAAGCTCTTCCCAGCAAGGCTCCCAACAGAGAGCGGTGACGTAACACGCGCTTACCAGCAGTGCTCCCAAGAGCGAGCGGTAACGCAACAAGCTCTTACCACCAAAGCTCCCAAGAGCGAGCGGCAACGTAAGCATCTCTGGGCACGAGGACTTTGAACAGAGAGCGGTGACGCAACAAGCTCTTCCCAGCAAGGCTCCCAACAGAGAGCGGTGACGTAACACGCGCTTACCAGCAAGGCTCCCAAGAACGAGCGGCCAAGGCTCCCAAGAGCGAAGGGTGCCATGAGCCATCTTGGGCAGGTTGCTGAAGCGCTCGCTCCGTTCCCGTGCCGCCCAGGTCGAATTGCCTTCGGCCCATCCCGCCACCGCGCTTGGGTTGTGGTATGAAGCTTCTTGGATGTTCGTTGGGATCTCGCGGGAGGCTCTCGGGGGCCCTTTGGAGACAGCTTGGAGGAATCTTGGGGGCCTTTGGGGGCCTCTTGGGTGCCTCTTTGGGGCCTCTTGGGGCCTCCTGGGGGCCTCTTTGGGCGGGAAGCTTGGATTTTCGGTTTGTGCTTCTCCCTTGGGCCCCTTTTGGAGCTGTCATAGGGCCCTCTTGGGCCGTCTTGGGGCGCTCTTAGGCAGTCTTCGGGCTCTCTTGGAGGCCACTTGGGCTGTTCTGGGGTGGTCTTGGAGGCCTCTTGGGCCGTCTTGGAGCGTCGAACAGCCGAACTGGCGAGATCGTCAGAGTTCTCCAAAAACCTGAGGCAAATCAATGATCGTTGCATCTTGGGGCCCTGGGCCCTCTTAGAGGCCTCCTGCAGGCCCCTTGGGGCCCCTTGGAGGCCTCTCTTGGGACGTCTCGGGGCCATCTTGGGCGTCTTGAAGCGACCTTTCGGCGACCCGGGGCTCTCTTTGGCCGTTTTGGGAGCCTCTCGAGGCTCTCTGGGCCCGCCTTGGGGCCGTATTGCGCCCCACGCGGCCTTGCGACACGACGCGGGCGATTTCCGTTTTGCAGTTTCTCGGCCCCGGGCGCCTTCCAGGATTCCTTGCTCGATCTCCCTTCTTAGAAGTGGGGGGGCCAACGTCGTGGGGGGTGCCGCGCCCGCGAAGATTACCCCCGGGCCTACTCTCTTCACGCCGGCGAAGAGCACGTCGCCCAAGCGCCGGGTCGAAACAAGGATGCCCCAGCTCGGGACCCCGAGGATGGGGCAGAGGGCTCGAGGACACGCGGGCCCGGTGGCGGTGTTTCGCAGCAGGCTCGAGGGGCACAAGATCGATTCTGGGGTAAATCAACACTCCCCCCTCCCTGCCTGCCTCCCTGCCTGCCTCCCTCCCTCCCTTCCTCCCTCCCTCCTCCTCCTCCTCTTCCCTCCTCCTCCTCATCCTCCTCCTCCTCCTCCTCTTCTGCAGCCGATCCCCTGCACGAAGGATGGCTCGTGTTGCCTGCGACCGCAGGGAAGGCAGGCCATCGTCGAGAATGCCACCCCTGAGCCAGCCACGATCGGGAGGCGTTCTGACGAGGTCGACGGGACAGGCACGCCTTCGAAGCTCAAAGGCGCGGCAGGCATCAAGGTTACGCTCTTATTTCTCGTGATCGTGACGCTGGGCATCATAGACGTGGTCTTCGCCGTGGACAGCGTCACGGTGAAGATATCCGCCCTGGCCAGTTTCTCGTTCGGCCTGAGCTTTTTTCTGAACCTCACGTCGAGCGCGCTCGCGATGTTCATGCTGAGGAGCCTCTACACCCTCATGGACAGCATGACGCGCATGTTCCGCTTCCTCTCCAGCGGGGTGGGCGTCGTCCTCCTCCTCATCGGTGTCAAGCTCATCCTCGGGGGCCTGAATGTGGAGATAGGTCCGCGCCGGGGTTCCTGTCCACGTCCCACATCCATCGGGGGAACGTAAGACTCGAGAGCGCCGGAATTTGAGTTTGCCGACGCTTTTTGACAAGCGCGTTCTGGATTCTGACGGTGCAGTTTCCGTGGGCTATATTTGCAACGGGCGATCGCGCCAAGTTTCAAATTGGGCCTCGTCATTTTCATGATGGCCCTGTCAGGCCAACTGGAGTCCCCCGGGCCCGAGTCTCATCGGAGGTTGATAGACCTCCTACCCTGACACGTCGATTAGCGAATTGGCCGTTTTCGGTTCGCGAGAGGGCGTCGCGGCCGTCACCGTTGCGGGCCCCGGTCCGTCCGTTTCGGCCCCAGGCCGTTTTTTTCACGAGAGGGAGGTTTACCAACGGGAGGTCCGTCCACCGCCGATCTGCTGCCTCTCCCCGAGCCAACCCCTCTCGGGGGCGTGTCGCCCAGGACTTGACGTGACGGATGCCTGACGCGTGCTTGCCCTGGTGGCTCTTGGCTCCGGCTCGTCGCGACGTCGACGGCTCCGCCCGAGCGCAGGGACCATCCTGGGTGAGCACCGCGCTGCGGTACCATTCGAAGGAGGAAGAGGTACACACGGTTCGTTTTCAATTCTGCGAAAGTTCTTTGATTTTTTTGTGGGGTCAAGATCCTTCATTTCTAATCGTTATATCCTGGGCCTCTTCCTGGCCAGTAGGGGGCCGGGAACAATTAGAAACGAGCACACTTAGAAATGAGCGCGATTAGAAATGAACGACGTGTATATACCCATCGTCCCTCGTTTTTCTTTTTCTGGTCATCCTGCGAAGCCCTCGTCGCCACCGCTGGATTCGCTTCGAAATCCTGGTCAGAACGCACCCCAGGAGAGGTCTGGGGAGCAGCGGCATCGGCACATTTTGGTTTGCCCTATCATCGGGGGAAGGAGGAGCGACATTTCCATCACCTTGTGGGCCACCTCCAGCGAAGAGGCCCTCGATGTCTCCCCCAGCTGGGGATGCGGGGATGTCTCGAGCGAGAGGGGGGGGGGGCAAAACAATGGCTCCTCCTGCTGATGGTCCTTGATGGTGAAGGTGTCGCTCGTCCTTGTCCCTACATCAGTGGGTGGTTCCATTGCTGCAGATGCTACGCGGCACTGGCTGCACAGCTGCACATCCGTACAGTCGGCACACGTAACAGCGGGATTCGCCAGCGTGTGCCACGTTCGCGCCTGTCCCGCTTGCACTGCACGCGACACCCACTTTTGTGAGGACGCCCTGCGTTTTTCTTAGTGTTGCACCCCGCACCCCACCTAGCCTCCTAAGCCGCCCACTGAGAGTGCAAATCCCAGAGTGCCCGGACCCCCGCTGGCGAAGCAGCTGCTCGGCACACGGCACTACAGGCTATCTATAGGATCCACGCCCCTCGCGGGGGCGACCAGCCGTGGCGACGCGCGCGCCCGCAGCTCACATCCACACCGCAGCAGCCTCTCGGGTTGGCTGTTTTTTTCCACCACGGCACAGTCTGCACACGCTCCGCGCCGTCCTCGGGGGGCACGCTTCCAGATCGGAGGACACGGACAGGCCCCAGTGTGGAACAGGGATGCTCCAATCGACGCTCATCATCGTCGCCGTCCTGCTCGCGTCGGTGGTTGCGTCGGCTGTTATGCCCGAGCAGCCCGAGGAGGAGAGGGACTTGGAGCTTCCCGCGCCGGCGCCCAAGGCGGACGCCGCGCAGCAGGATGCCACGTCCCCCGCGGCGGCCAGACGCTGAGGCGGCCTCGGCGGCGGCCCCGAGCTCCAGTTCTGACAGTTTTTTTCTCGTCCTAATTCGATCGCTTCGCTCACTCCGCCGGCCCATTTTGCGCATCGCTGGAGGAGGGGGAGGAGGAGGAGCAGGAGGAGGAGGAGGAGGAGGAGGAGGAGGAGGAGGAGGAGGAGGAGTCGGCTGGCCGAGTGGCCGTTTGCAGTGCGGAGTTGCGGGGCTGGTGGCTGCTTTCCAGAAGCGCCATGGGAGGCCTCAGAGGGTCTCTCAAGAGGCCTCTCGGGGGCGTCCGGGAAGTATTCTTGTGGGGCTTCTCAGGCCCCCGGACACCAGGACACAGACTGACCAGTACTCGGAAAACCAAGGAAACGACACCCGTTCCTGCATAGTCAGATTTTCCAGTCTTGGCATTTTGTTTGTTTGCTGCGTTGCAGGATTCGGGTTTGTGTCCAGGTTGAGGGGGGTCTTGCAGAGGGCCTGTGGTTTATTCTGCAAGGTTGTAGTGCAGCATTTTGTTCTTGCCGCCGTCTGGAAAAGTTGGTTTCGAGGGATGGTGGGTGTCTGGGTCTAGCGTGTCCGGGTTTACGGGGCCCTGAGCCTCCTGGGGCCTCTGTGGGGCTTCTTCGTCGGGCCTCGTGGAAACGCTTCGGAGCTTCTCGGGGCCTCTTGGGAACCTCTGGGGGCCTCCTCGGGGGCCGCGTGGGGGGCCTCTTGGAGGTTTCTCTGTGCGTCTCGGGGGGCATCTTACGGGGCCTCTCGGGGGGCCTCCTGGGTGCTCCTTGAGGACCTGGTCGGCTGATGAGCGCACACCGTTCTGTGATTTCCCAGATGCTCCCTGTGACTCTCGATGCCCATCCTCTGATAACACGTTAGCACCCATGCCATCCGACGACGACCTCAATGGTAGCTGGAGCGTCCGTGCGAACGGTTCTGAATAGACACGACAGGGCACAGGAGCACCGGCTGGGAACATGGCGGGCACACCACACCTGACAGAGGCGACCACGACGGCGACGCAAACACATCAGGAACCGTCGAGCAGAGAGCAGTCCAACTGGAGAGATGCGGGGTGGTGGTCTTGGTCCTGTTGGGACTGCAGCGCCCCATCCTGGAAAGGAACGGGCGATCGCGATGGTGCCGAGGAGGCAGACTGGATCAGCGCTGGTTGGAACAAGATAGAGTACCATATTCACTCCAGGGACTTCTCGGCGCCGCCACCTTGACCTGGCTTAGAACACTTTGAGATTTCAATTGCCAACCTGCAAGCCTGGTCCAAGAGAACAGGGGTTCTACCGGAACGCCAGGGCCCAAATGTCTCAATGGGGGTTGACAACGATTTGTAGTCAAACTGTAAGGGCATCCGCCATCTCCTTGATAATGAGAATGGCACCGAGGAGTTGTTGAAACATTTGCGCCCGCTGAGGGGGGAAAGGTCTGGGGACAGGGCGCGAAGCACACAGCGAGACTCTGTTCGATTATCTTATCCGCTCGAACGAGTCATGGACCAACTTTTTTATTCGTCGCGACACCCAGATTGCGCAGGCAGCAAGGTTCGGCCTGTCTTTTCCCGATGCGGCCCAGGGCAGGTATCAGGAAGAAGGCGCCCAGCGTTCCAGGGAACGGGGTCTACCTGCGCACGCTCATGGGTGGAGATAACTTCTCAAGAGCAGCGAGCTCGATGGTGCTGTGAAGTCGGTGTTGCCCGAGAAAGCAATGGCGAGGCGATCGAGAGTTTCCCAGCCCATGTAGAAGACGACCAGTTCTCATCTGGCGACGAGGACAAGACGTAAGACTTGCATGAGGCTGAGTTTCCCGAGGCTGATGCGCCCGTCTGTCTAGCCGTCTTGGAGGAGAGAGACTTCCACGAAGACGAAGGAGTCAGCGTTTTCATGGAAAGGGCCATGTCAGTTCAGATGACGGAGCCATGTCTGATGAAGACAGCCCGAACAGTTGACAGACAGTTCTTCGATAGAAAGCGACTGCCAGACCCATCGAGGTCTCCGTGTCCTCAGTGCCCAGGCTTCAGGCGCGCTGGCGAGGGCGATCTCAAGACGCGCGCGAGACGCACCAATTGCGGGGGGGATTGCCGAAAGCCATACCGGCCCAAAGAACGGACTGTCTCAAGATCGAGGGCGAGCCGCTGAGCGGCAGTTTCCGCGCGTTTCTCTCGGTTCAGCATAACTGTCGTTCCGGGCAGAATGCGTGGGGGAGCTCGCAGAGGCCAACGACCCTCGGATGGTCTCAGGCGCCGCGCCCCGCTCGATGGCCGGTCGCGCCCTGGCGGGCGCGGCCGCGGCGCAGGCTCTCACTGGCGTTCCGGATCTGAAGCGCATGAAGTACGCGTTCTGCGAGAAGGGCTTCGAAGTTCACGTGGAGTTCTCGAAAGGTCGACCCTTCGCCAGCGGGGTGGGCGGGAAGGTGCAATCTGCATCAAGCAGGGGCTCTCGTTCCCGCGTCGTTTCACGAGTCCGGGGCCTTGGGGCTTCCTGGATTGTGTTCGCCTCTGGCCAGCGCCGCCCATTTGGCGCGCTCCCGATGGCGTTCTCTTGGGGCCGTTGTAGGAGGAGGTCTCTCGAGGGGATCTTCGGCCTCTTGTGGGCTTCTTGAGCGCCTCGCGGGCTGTCCCAGGGCGTTCTGGGTCTGTCGGGCGCCGTCGAAAGCAGCCGAGGGCGCCTCGCCGCGCCGCCTGGGGGTGCTCTGGGGGCGCTGCAGGGCCATCTTTGAGTTTATATCGGCCGTCTTGGGGGCATGCGGTGCCGCGTTGGGACCCTCATGGGGGCGTTTCGGGAGCCTCTTGGGCCGTCATGGGGCTGTCGCGGAGGCTTTTGAGGCGACGGCGGGGGCGTCTGAGGCCGTCAAAAGTCAGAAAAGAATAAAGCGCCCAAGTCCGTCACATGCCGATAGAAAAGCAACGATTTCGGCCTCGTCGTTTTTCTTCTGAGGGCGCCCTGGGCCATCATGGGCGCTCCTCGAGCCGTCGTGGGGCATCTGGTGGCCAGCGTTGGCCCCCTCGGCGCCCGGGGAGAGAGTCTCGCTGTCTCTAATGCGCCCCAGACACGCGCATAAAACGGGGCGCAGGCAGGCCCCCCCCCCCCCCCCCCCCTTCCGCAAGAGGGAAATCTACTATCATTTTGGAGCCACGTTCGCAGTGTGTGTTGATATGTTGGGATTCGCTTGGTATTGCGGTTTGCGTTCCTCGCCCCGGTCATGTCCTCCGTAATCCCCCATCTTCTTCGTCGCCACCTAACCCTGCAACGCAATCCCCTCAACCAGCCGCGCGCGAGGATTTTATTTGCAACCCGCGCGATCGACATAACTCCACGAAGTGTCCCCAGACAGATCCCCTTGCAAAGCCGCGTCAGAAGGGTCGCATCTGCATCCGCGCAACAGACAGTCAATGCGAACATCGCCCACAAAATGAATCCCAGTGAAAAGCCGCGCACAACTATTTGATTACAACCCATGCAACAGCCTTTTGCAAATCGCCCGCAACCGGATTTCGTTTGTAAGGGGACATTCTAGGAACAAGAACTCCCGCGCGGATTGTCAATGCGAACAATCTTGTGGGCGAAATGCAATTGGGCATTTTATTCCGCGCGCTGCCATTTGAATGTCTTTCGCGTGGTTAACTGATGGGATTCCTTATTTTCCGGATGCGCGCATGCATGGTTGAAGTGAAATTTCATCATAGAAGTTGCTTGGTTACGCGACTTGTCAGCCGGCTTCCTTTCGCGGAAGATTCACCGATTAAGTGCGCTCGCATGGGGATTTCTCCAACCCATGAAGAAAGGTTTCATTGCAGGCGGCTTGGCCTTTAATCCAGTCTTCCAGAGGTTGACCGCCTCCACCACTAACCAGATCTCATGGGCAGCGGGGCGCTCCTTAATAGGATTCCATTCATTCGAGGTGTCCCTGATGTCCGCATGATTCAAATAGAAGTGGCCGCACATCTGATGTGATTCTACCCCGGGCGCTTCCATCTTCCGTGGAATACCATGGGAGGTGGATCCACCTCTAGTGGGGTCTTAATAGAAGCGGGTCCACGTTGCATGAATTGCCCGCGGCCCCGTCCATAACGGGGCCCCAGTGGTCCACCTCCCGTGGGATTCTATCAGGCCTGAGTCGTTTTTTGGTCGGATCAATCAGGTTTGCTTTTTCTTTCAGGGGGTTCTGCTTGTGCGGGCCCACCCCTAATAGGTTTCCATTGGCAGCCGGCCCATTCCTGATGGGATATTTTTAAGGGCCCCGCATGGCTCGGCAGGCTTCGCACGGCGCGGCCTGTTCCGAGGTGACGACAGCTTAGCAAGGTTAGCAGTTGTTTGCGCAGACAGACAAGTCTCAGCGGGGCATGTCAGGGGCTGGCGGGGCCGAGATGGAATTGGTCGGGCGTTTGTAAGGCTTCGCTGGGCTCGGCAGGTGGCCGGCATACTTCATGAATGCTCAGAGGAGGGCTTGCAGGGCATGGCCGCGCAGAAGCAGTGCTCGGCAAGGCTTGGCAAGGCCTTGCAGAGCCTAGCAGGGGCCACCAGGGCACGGCGCGGCATCGCAGTGGCTGGCGAGGCTCAGCGGGGCAAGGCGTAGCAGCGATTAGCCCGGGCTCAGAAGGGCTTGGGGTTATTTCTATTTACGGTGGAACCACTCCCCCTAGGATTCAAATTTAAGCGGGTCCACATCTAAGGCGGTGTCACCCCGATGCCCCCATTTTTCGTGGGATGCGATTGGAGGCGGATCCAATTTTATAGGGGGGGCCCGCGCTGCGTGCAATTCAAGTGCCCGTGGCCCCGTCCATGACAGGATCCCAGTAGAGGCGGGTCCATCCTCATAGGGTTATTTTAATGCTGCGTCCTGCATTGATCGGATTGCTTTGCGCGTTGCTTCCTCCTCATAGGATCATGCTATAGGTGGATCCGCCTCTGACAGGGTTCCATTCGCAATGGTTTCATCCCTGGCGAAATTATATTTGACGCGGCCCCGCGTGGCTTAGCAGGCGTCGCGTGACTGAGCCGGCCGTCGAGGTGCTGGCAGAATTCAACAAGGCTAGCAGCTGTTAGCTATTTTGGCAGGTCTCACCAGGCCC